TATCCCTTGGGTCCATGTGGCAGGGGTGAGGAGTGAGCAACACCTCACCCCTGCCACGTGGACCTCAAGGGATAAACTGTCAATTCTGCTCAATGGTCAACTTTCCTTGCAGGGTCACCCGTAAAGACAGTGGGAGGGATAAAGCAACTGAGACACAACCCATAGAAAGAGAGGTGTTAATCAGGGTAACACTACTCTGACCTACAGCACTAATCACCTCCAGTAGCCTGGAGGAAGCGCGTAATTTGGCCAAAAAGAAGTCTTCAGCTTCCTGACTTTCTGATACTTGGATGGGAGAGATGAGTTCAAACTGGTCAGAAGCAGTAGGAGACACTTTATTCATGTCAGAATCACTAATAGGACCAAAGGGATTTGATCTGATAGCCCTCACTTTAATAAAATATAGTTTAAAAACATTTCACAAAGTGAAACAGAGGGAACCAGATCAGATGAATCACAGGGATTCAGGAGAGACTTCAAAGAGCTAAAAATAAGAGTTATCAGAGACGAGCTTAAACACAAACTGAGTCTTAGCAGCAGGCTGATACTCAGAGCCTCGCAAAATCTCTAAGGAGACATGAAGCTTGTCCTTCTTCCACTTTTTTTCAGTGCACCGGCAGATGCATCTGAGCATAAGTGTGTGTGATCATTGAACCATGGTGCCATCACTACTTAAGCGTTTAGAATTTAGATGGGCTATCTTGTTCATAATAGTCACACAGGCAGAAGCACATCAACATCTCCATTCTGGTGAGATCCTAAATAGGAGAACTCAGATTCTTTAAACACAACTAAAAACGGTGGCGTAGTCTGAGAGTTAATCCATTGAAGAGACAACTCAAGGGCGACAGGTTGGCCTGCACTGTGCCTCGGAGAAGCCTTTGGATCTGGCAAACAGGTAGGACAGCTACTGACAGCCAGGTGAGCTTGGCATGGTGCCAATTCAGGGACAGTAGGTATAATCCAACACAGGGGAGTGTGATGATTCAAACAGGAGTGGAGAATCCATCTCGGAGTTCAAAGTGGACTCGAGTCGCACCGGCACTCCCCCTCTTTTCCCGTCTCTTTGGGCACTTCACCTTGTAAAGCAGTGCAATTGGTTTTTGGTCATAATAATTGACAATATTAGTACTAATACTAAAAGAACATTTATAATTTGTACTACTACTACTACTACTCATATTAATAAAATCAATTATTATTTTTTATCATTATTAGTATTATCATGATAAATAACTAAATAAATAAATATATATTATTATTAGTAGTATTATTTAGACAAAATATTTGCTATAAGAACAAGTGACAGGATACTCAAGAAAACTTTGGGATGTGTGGACATAATTTGTCAGAATATGAGATTAATTTGTGTCCAGGATAAAGAAAACCTTTTAACCTCTTTATATTTTACAAACACTCAAGTTAAAAATCAACAATTAATAACATCAGAGCATTTGTATTTTGTATGATCTTCTTACCTTGCTTTTATTCAATTTCCCTAAATCCAGGATTAACCAAGCATGCTCATGCAACCAACTTTCTGAAATAGCCTTCTGGCATGCGTCAATGTAGAAAACCAAGTTCGTCCTATAGGGAGCCAAAGTCTCCTCCCCTTCCAGTCGGCTCATGGGTCCTGAAAGAAGGATTTGAAGCTCGCTAAAGTCATCTTCTCATCTTCATATCTGGTTCCATGTCAATTTGGAGAGACACATTTGTAGTTCGTTACTTTAGGTTTTGTGTGAAAAGACGTACCTTTTGCCGCCTGTTGAAAATAAGCACATTCTTAGCATCCAAGTGTGTTTTTAACATTCAAGGACATCAAATGTAAAATCTGTCGTTCATGTCAAATCGGATCAGACATTTTCTTTTTGACATTTGGGGAAGTAGATGTGTGTGACCTAGGCTCCTCATTGTCAGTAACTTGGAAAGAATGTATCCAGACCAGCATAGACGCATATATAAACTTGTTGATGTTTCCCAAGATCAACACTCATCTATTCGGTACTTGAAAAATGCATTTGAGGAATTTGGCTGTAAAGGGTTTTTCGGCCAGAGGAACATTGCACGTCATACAGGACACATGAAGCAAACTCATTGGTGAGTGTGTGGTGCTAAAGATAGCAGTCAGTTTTTGGCATCCCAAATCTGGACAATGAACTTTAATAATAATAATTACCAATCTCATTTTAATTTCTAAATTGAATTAACAAATGTCTTTTCTGCTTTTAAAGTTGGCCTCTTTGTACTTTCATCTAACAATCCAAATGACTGAAAGCAGGACAAAGACCTGCTGATTTGCAAGGTTCTGTGTGAGTATAATATAATAGAGAATGAAGGAAAGACGAGTTAGGAGTAGTTCTTGTTATCGATGCTGGTGTACAAGGAAAGTTGCAAAAAAAAAATTTTAACTTGCATTTTCACTTTTTAACCCTTAAAAGAACCATTCTTGAACGTTCAAAATTTACAATCATTTTTAAAAGACCAATTAACCTGTGCAAGGTCTAGACATTTATAGTGGTGGCTGGAGTTTTGTAAATCTTCTAAATTCTGACATTGGACCACTTTTTTTTTCCATGAATGGACTTTTTAAAAGGTCTTTTTTTTAGCATACAGGCAAGATAAATTCAGAATTTAAAATTTTAATTTTCTAATATCTAAAATTTTTCATCTCTGCAGGATTATTTTTCTGATTTTGTGCATGTAATATGTAGCCTTACATACCACAGAATTCCCTCCAGATCAAGAATAATCTTGTTGTTGTAAAATTGTTTTTAAAACAACACAACACAACGTAAGAAAAGGCAATCACAACGCCAACAAATGATTATGTTGAAGTAATGGTACAGTGTGTCAGTAATGTTGTCATTTGAAGATGTTTTGTTGTCAGCATTTTAAGTTTGGATGTTCTGAATTCATTTTATGTGCATTTTAATTATTGTCTGCTTTTGTGTTCTGGTTGTTCAGAAATCACTAATGTTTATTTATTTAAAAGGTTTAATTACCTTTCTTCTAATACTATTCTAATGAAATAAAAAGAAAACCCTCATCAGGGCAGAAATATGAAAAAGAAAACAGAACTACTGATTAAACTGTAGATATATGGGGTATTTTGTCCCAATTTGCTGAACATTCTGTAAAAATGTTATCATATGTAACTGATTTCATTCATTGCTTAGCGCTTATGTAGGGTTTAGGAAATTGAGTGCTTTAAGAGCTCAATATAGATTACCTCTACTTATGAGTATCCTGTGATACTCTATATAAATATAGAATAGCAACCTGCTTGGTCTTTACTGTGTTTAATCAGAAGATTCTAGGATTCTTTATTTATTAAGGGATTGTAAACACTTCGTTTTGATTAAAAAAAAGAGTCAGGTTTATAAAAGTAAGAATTTATTTTACAAACAATTAAAACATGACAAGTTAACTAAGCATTTACTGTGATGGATGGAACTAAAGGTGATGTATGAACCTTGGTGTGAATGCGGTGTTCGTCAGAACTTCCCTATCAAGGAGAGCTGAGTTCTGGATGTTAAAGGTTCTGGGTTGCGCTAACCTATGAAGTTGATCATTATCAAAAGCACATCAGACGCTATCCATGTGTCTACTTCACCCGTTCTCGGAGACCGTCTTGGTGGATCCGAAGGTCAGAGAAATCGGCTGACCTCTGGCACCGAAGGACTGAATAGCGTGGCACCGACGCTTCGTCCAGAGATGTCTCAGGTTACGACAGATGGATGGAACCGCACGTCTGGGACTCTGAAGGAGTCTAAACAATATCAGCTTGTTCTGCAGGAACTGTTGTTGTATCAGCTTCGCAGGTGCAAAAAGATTTTGATGACATGTCAATAGCTTTGATAGGTTAAAGAGGTGTTGCTTCAGGTGGCCGGTCTGAAACTTTCTCTAGAACTGCTGAGTGTGATCAGGGTGATCCAGTTTTAAGGATCTCATGTTATGATTTGCGTAGCCAACCACAGGTTGACAAGTTTGAGAAATGTTACCAAGACAACCTCAGAAACACGCCTTCTTTGATACGGAGGCTCTGACTAGGCTAAAAGACTATTTATGTGTCACGACTTCAACTTAACCTTACTTGAGCTTGTGTGAGTGCAAATGGTGATGACTTGCCATGTAAACAACATAACATAACATTCATTTCACACTTCAATCACTGAGCACAGATTAATGAAACATTTCATTATATTATAATTATAAGTAGCAATAAACAAACATTTATTTAATGATTATTTAGCTTGTACGTTGTAGAAAAAGTTCATATTGAATCATTGTGAATCATTCTTTGACTTAGCAACTGATCCGAACTGGAGTGTTCCTTATATGGAGGCATGAAGACCTGAAAGATTGGACCTTGAGGAGAGAATGCTATTGTATACATTACGTTATCTGTGTTTAGAGCTGCAGAGACTCTGAGCTCCAGCTGGTGGGATGAAGGCAGGCCAATTTAAAGGGAACACATGCAGTCTTGTGTCTCATTTTGACCAGATGTTGAATGGTCAAACTGTACCTAAAAACTGACCATTGCTGGACGTTACACTTAGCACACTAAAAGATTCTACACCCGACTGCCCAAGTGGGAGGAACTGGTCCAGGAGCTAAAACTGACCAGTGGTTTTGTCAACATGCACTCATCATCAGCAGCACAACTGTACAGTAATCGGAAGGTTGCAGGTTTGATTCCGGCTCCCACCAAAGGACGCTGCTTGAACCGCCTTGCCTGCTCATTGTAGCTCATCCCCACCAGCGTGTGAATATGTGGATGACTGATCGTGTTGTGAAGCACCTTGGGGCGTTGTAGAACCCTAGGGAGGCTCTAAACAAAAACTGGCCATTTACCATTTGGAATATCATAATCACTGTAAATATATATATATATATATATATATATATATATATATATATATATATATATATATATGCATATAATATGTTTTGTTTGATGAATGTGTTTAATTTTTGTGATTGTCTTGTGTTTTTTCCAGGGGATAATAATGGCTGGCCCCATCTTTTCGACAAATATTTTGGCTTACCAAGCCCTAACGCCAGGACCAAGTCGAATACGTGCTGTAAGTACTGTAAGGTTGTTTTTCCTACAGAAATCTTTACGCTTTTTAAAGCCCCTTTATTATGCTATTTTACAACTCACCAAACAATGATAGGCACAATACATGATAAAACTGGGAACAAAATGCTTGGATTCAATAAAACCGAACGTTCACCCATGTACAAACCCCCACCCATCTCACAGTGTGTCTGTGTTTTTAACACCTTAAAGCTGCAAAAGCAAATCTGCAAACAAGATAGCGCTGGGGTGTCAGACTCAAATCCACACTGGGCCAAAATTAAAAACTGGAAACTCAATGTTTATAGAAAGATGGACTGAAAATGTGCACATTTTCCTTTATCGCCAGATATTAATTGTTGTACCTTTTCATTGTGAAACAATCTTATTTTTGCATAAACACTGAATCTGGAATAACCGAAATAAAATGAGTAAATTCGGAACAAAACCCATCAATGGTATTCATTACATTTTTTGTCTCAAATGATTTTAAATCTCTGTAATCCTTTAAATGTGGATATAGTCAGTATTTTGAATCTTTTAGGTATTTCTGTTTTATGTTTTCTTGTTTACACTACATTCTTATTTTTTAACTTTTACTTTGACTTGAGCACATCACTAGACTGAAGTTCAATCACAACCACTGGAGGTTGGTTGGTGCGTTTTCCACGTCAACTCTGAACAGATTACTGTGCTGTTGGAATCTCAATCCCCGGGTAAACTCAGCGGTGAGTAAGAGGAGTATTCGGTTTGTCTGAGACTGAGGAGGGTCAAGCTGTAGATGCTGAGACTAGTAGCATGAACGTTATTGACTAAACAGAAAGGAGAGGGTGCTCTGATTGATGTGCTATCACAGCAAAGCATTATGGAATTTGTAGATTTTACTGCAAATGCACCAGTGGGCCAGTTCTAATAAACATTTGATTTTTGATCTCGCTGGCCAAATATAAATAGATCGCGGGCAAGATTTGACCATGAGGACCTTGGTTTGACACCTGTAAGTTAGCGCTCAAACACAAACATGGTCATGGAACATTCACCCCTCTCATCGGCTATCTTCCCTGGGCCACGCCCGCCTGATACCAGAACCTGCATTGCCAGAATAATCAAGAGAGAGCCAAACACTAGTCATCTGTTGTTGTCCATGATTTCAATTGCTGCTTTTATTGGTTGTTTTCAGACAAATGTGGGAGAACCACTTTATTATTTATTTCATTTTCTTTTTTATCTCCACGATATATGTTAGGACATTGTTAAGGGGCATGAAAGACATGTTTTAAGCTAGCTTGTTTTGAAGAATTGCCATTGCAGCTTTAATCTAATGGGTCAAACGTCTCCTTAGCCTTCATAAGTTTCTACAGGAGTGATTCATCACTAATTCAAGCAAATCAACTGTGTTCAAGCAGGGAAAGATCTAAAACATGTAGGAATTATGCGCTAGAAGCACTCTAGTGCTAGTAGATTTTGCGTGATATAGTCCTTTTAACTTATTGAGAATCTAAAGATGTGAGCCTTTTCTCAGTCTCTCGTCTCATCTCGTCTCGTCTCGTCTTCCTCCGCTTATCCGGGTCCGGGTCGCGGGGGCAGCATCCCAACTAGGGAGCTCCAGGCCGTCCTCTCCCCGGCCTTGTCCACCAGCTCCTCCGGCAGGACCCCAAGGCGTTCCCGGACCAGATTGGAGATGTAACTTCTCCAACGTGTCCTGGGTCGACCCGGGGGCCTTCTGCCGGCAGGACATGCCCGAAACACCTCCCCAGGGAGGCGTCCAGGAGGCATCCTGACCAGATGCCCAAACCACCTCAACTGGCTCCTTTCGATCCGGAGGAGCAGCGGTTCTACTCCGAGTCCCTCCCGAATGTCCGAGCTCCTCACCCTATCTCTAAGGCTGAGCCCGGCCACCCTACGGAGGAAACTCATTTCGGCCGCTTGTATCCGCGATCTCGTTCTTTCGGTCATTACCCAAAGCTCATGACCATAGGTGAGGATTGGGACGTAGATCGACCGGTAAATCGAGAGCCTGGCTTTCTGGCTCAGCTCCCTCTTCCCCACGACAGATCGGCTCAGCGTCCGCATCACTGCAGATGCCGAACCAATCCGCCTGTCGATCTCCCGATCCCTCCTACCCTCACTCGTGAACAAGACCCCGAGATACTTAAACTCCTCCACTTGAGGTAGGACCTCTCCCCCGACCCGGAGGTGGCAAGCCACCCTTTTCCGGTCGAGAACCATGGTCTCAGATTTGGAGGTGCTGATCCTCATCCCAGCCGCTTCACATTCGGCCGCGAACCTACCCAGCAAGAGCTGAAGGTCAGAGCTGGATGAAGCTAGGAGGACCACATCATCCGCAAAAAGCAGAGACGAGATTCTCCTGCCACCAAACTCGACACACTCCACACCACGGCTGCGTCTAGAAATTCTGTCCATAAAAGTGATGAACAGAACCGGTGACAAAGGGCAGCCCTGGCGGAGTCCAACCCTCACTGGGAACAGGTCCGACTTACTACCGGCTATGCGGACCAAACTCACGCTCCTCTGGTAAAGGGACTGAATGGCCCTTAACAGAAAGCCACCCACCCCATACTCCTGGAGCGTCCCCCACAGGGTGCCCCTGGGGACACGGTCATAAGCCTTCTCCAAATCCACAAAGCACATGTGGATTGGTTGGGCAAACTCCCATGCCCCCTCCATCACCCTTGCAAGGGTATAGAGCTGGTCCACAGTTCCACGGCCAGGACGAAAACCACATTGCTCCTCCTCTATCTGAGATTCAACTATCGATCGGACCCTCCTCTCCAGTACCTTGGAGTAGACCTTTCCAGGGAGGCTGAGGAGTGTGATCCCCCTATAGTTGGAACACACCCTCAGGTCACCCTTCTTAAAGATGGGGACCACCACCCCGGTCTGCCACTCCCTAGGAACTGCCCCCGATGACCACGCAATGTTGTAGAGACGTGTCAACCATGACAGCCCTACAACATCCATAGCCTTGAGATACCCAGGACGAACCTCATCCGCCCCCGGGGCTCCGCCGCTGTGTAGTTGTTTGACTACCTCAGCAACTTCTGCCCCCGAGATCGGACAGTCCATCCCCAGGCCTCCCAGCTCTGGTTCCTCCTCGGAATGCGCATTGGTGGGATTGAGGAGCTCCTCAAAGTATTCCTTCCACCGTCCGACTATAGCCTCAGTTGACGTCAGCAGCTCCCCATCCCCACTGTAAACAGTGTGAGCGAGTTGCTGCCTTCCTCTCCTGAGGCGCCGGACAGTTTGCCAGAACCTCTTTGGAGCCGATCGATAGTCTTTCTCCATGGCCTCACCAAACTCCTCCCACGCCCGAGATTTTGCCTCGGCAACTGCCACTGCTGCACCCCGCTTGGCTATCCGGTACCTGTCTGCTGCCTCCGGAGACCCACAGACCAGCCACGCCCTGTAGGCCTCCTTCTTCAGCCTGATGGCTCCCCGAACCTCTGGTGTCCACCAGCGGGTACGGGGGTTGCCACCACGACTGGCACCGGCCACCTTACGGCCACAGCTAGCAACAGCCGCCTCGACAATCGCAGAGTGGAACAAGGCCCACTCGGACTCAATGTCCCCCACTGCTCTCGGGACGTGGTCAAAGCTCTGCCGGAGGTGGGAGTTGAAGACCGTTTTGACAGGTTCTTCTGCCAGGCGTTCCCAGCAGACCCTCACTATGCGTTTGGGTCTGCCAGGTCTACGCGGCATGTTCCCTTGCCATCTGATCCAACTCACCACCAGGTGGTGATCAGTTGACAGCTCCGCCCCTCTCTTCACTCGGGTGTCCAAAACATACGGTCGCAGGTCAGATGATACGACTACAAAATCTATCATCGACCTGTGACCTAGGCTGCCCTGGTACCAAGTGTACCGGTGGGCATCCTTATGTTCGAACATGGTGTTCGTTATGGCCAAACTGTGGCTTGCACAGAAGTCCAATAACAAAACACCGCTCGAGTTCTGATCAGGTGGGCCGTTCCTCCCAATCACACCCCTCCAGGTCAAGCTGTCATTGCCCACGTGAGCATTGAAGTCCCCCAGCAGGACAATGGAGTCCCCTGATGGAGTACTATCTAGCACTCGTCCCAGGGACTCCAAAAAGGGTGGGTACTCTGAACTGATATTTGGCCCATAAGCACAAACAACAGTCAGGACCCGTTCCCCGACCCGAAGGCGCAAGGAAGCTACCCTCTTGTCCCCCGGGGTAAACCCCAACACACAGGCAGAGAGTCTCGGGGCTAACAAAAAGCCAACCCCAGCCCTCCGCCTCTCACCCGGAGCAACTCCAGCAAAGTAGAGTGTCCAACCCCTCTCCAGGTCTCGGGTTCCAGAGCCAATGCAATGTGTCGAGGTGAGTCCGACTATATCAAGCCGGTACCGCTCAACCTCTGCCACAAGCTCCGGCTCCTTCCCCGCCAGCGAGGTGACGTTCCATGTCCCAAAAACTAGTTTCCTTGTCCGGGGATTGGACCGCCAAGGCTCCCGCCTTGGTCTGCCACCCGATCCACACTGCACCGGACCCTTCATGTTCCTCCTGCGGGTGGTGGGTCCACAGTTGGACGAGCCCATGTATCCGGTTCGGGCTGGGCCCGGCCGGGCCCCATGGGCGAAAGCCCGGCCACCAGGCGCTCGCTCACGGGCCCCAACCCCAGGCCTGGCTCCAGGGTGGGACCCCGGTAACCCTCCGGGCCGGGTACTCCGACTCTTCGTTTTCACCGCCATGAAAGATCCTTCGAACCGTTCTTTGTCTCAGTACATAAAATAATAATTTGAAAGACTATCTGTGCAGTTAATCATATTTTTTCCCTTCTCTGTGTTCCATGTCTGTTCATAAAAACCCTTCAATATCAAACCATCAATTTATTTATAATAAGATATAAAAAGCCTGATTTTTGTTTGATGCATGCGGTTGAAAGTGGTTCTGGATCAAATCCTCCCTACATTGGTTTGAACTCATCATCAGTCTTCACATGCTGATTTTACAAGTGAACC